ATAATTAAAAAAAAATACAAATTATAAACAAATTCTTATACTGTTTTATAATTGTAAAAATTGAAAAGATTTAGAAATTATAACAAATTCTTAAATTTTTATCTTAATCTCCAAGAATACCCAAAAGAGGGCTGCCACCAGCCTCCCAAGCTCTTTTAATTCTGAATTTGGATGGGTATTTATAAGGTTTTAGAAACCCTAATTGAAATAGAAGTATGATTTGAAACAAAATAAAAAACTTGAATGTTCAACGCTGAATGTATAATGCTGACACTCTGGATTACGTATCGACACAAAACAAGAAATAGAAAGTTTGATTTTGGACTATTAACCCATGGTGTTGACACCCATATTATGTGTTTAAGAATAAACCCAGCAAAATGAAGACAACAACCTAGACAACAACCCAGCAAAATGAAGACGACAACCTTGGCAAGTGCACGCTACTCAAAAAGGTAGGGTTTTAAGAATAAAGTTGCAACTCACTTATAAAGGTAGAATTGTAGGGGAATTTGAAATTTAGAATTAAAATTTAAGTATATAATTAAAAATAAATAAATTAAGAAATATAAAATATGCTATTTTTATTTTTAATTAAATCAACAGAGTCATTATCTTGTAAAATAAGAAAAAAGATTTGAAATATTATAAAAATATTATATTATTTAATTAAGTTATTTTATAATCGGATTTTTTTTTATAATCGGGCGGTTCAGACAGTTTGAAAGTAAAATCACAAATCAAACCAATTATATCAGTTTTAAATTTTTATAATTCAAACCAATCCAATTTTATATCGGTTTGGTTTGGTTTTTAATCGGATTGGATCAATTTAGGTCGGATCAATCGGATTGGATCGGATATGAACACCCCTATTTTTAGTTATTGTTAGTGACCCCTTTATACTTCAAAATAATTTGCAAAAAAATGAAAAAAAGTAGTATGTACTAGTATGAAATAAAAACACGGGAAAATAGTAAAAATAGAAAACCGAAGCCGAAAACAATACTACCTATAAAAAATAGAAAACAATTTATTATCCCCACATTCACATTCGCACAAGATAATGTAAACCCAAATCGGGTTAGAAGCGTTAAAGTTCCAGCGGCCTGCGGTATCATTAATTGACCCTTCGTCCTCGTCCGTTCTAATTCCCCTTGGTGGTCCTCAAGAACGCAAAGTCTTCCCTCATCCAGAATCTAAGGTACGATTTCCTTATGGCAATCCCTATCCAATTTTTTTCTATTTCCTTTTGAATTCAATTGATGTAATCGGTTTTGCATTTCGATCTCTATGCTTAAAATCATTTGTTGTTAATTTAGATGCATGTGTACTGAATTTAGATGAATATTCTTTGGATCCAAAATTCAGTATGGAAAGGTTTTGAATTCTGGATGTTTCAATTAGTTAGGGTTTGTGATTAACTAATTGCTGGGTTTGTTGTTTCTTGGGTCTGAAAGTTATCAAGATGGGCTTGAAACAAGCTATTAAGAGCATCGACGCATTCCCTCGGGCTGAGGACCACTTGTTGCAGAAAACTCAATCTGGGGCATTTGGTAATAATAAACTAGGGCTTTCTATTTGATATTGTTTTTCTGAAATTTTGTGGATATTTGTAGATTAATTGAAAAAATTTCACTGTTCTTTTCCATTTTGCAGTCTCCATAGTAGGTCTGATCATAATGGCATCACTGTTTTTGCATGAGCTGGGATATTATCTTACTACCTATACTGTTCATCAGGTTTGCACTGAGTAGTTTTCTCTCTTCTCTCCTATTGGTTGAAATGCGTCATCTCCAAATGGTTACTTTGATTTAAATAGAAATTTCTCTGAAGATAAAAAGATCAATTACTTTGGGGCTGAGGTTCATCTGAAATGATACTGAACTTGTGTTTGTCAGATGTCTGTAGACTTGAAACGTGGAGAAACCCTCCCGATTCACATAAATATGACATTTCCTTCATTACCTTGTGATGGTTAGTATATCCCTTTTCCCAAGAACTTTGAGCTTTATTGCGAGCTTGGTTCACTTCTTTCTTTGACATTCTGAGTGTCAATCTAATTTCTCATATGACACCTTGCAGTCCTGAGTGTGGATGCTATAGATATGTCAGGCAAGCATGAAGTGGATCTTGATACTAACATATGGAAAGTAAGTAATTTATTCTCAAGAAACTTTTCTTTGAATATTGGTTGTTGTGTATAAATTAGTGCAGTATTCAATAGAGTAATTTAGGAGTTCTTTCACCTCTTGGAAGTTTTGTAGAGAGATTTAGAATTTAGTCATATGTAGCTATTAAAAAGTATTATTAAAAAGTATTACAAATTTTTTGCAAGTAATTTTTCAATTAGTAGATACCTATCCTAGATGCTCATGGAGCTCTTAAGCTAGTACTTAGAGTACCCACTAACTTTGTCTATTAAAGAAATGAAGATTTTCTTAATATAAATATAAATTGTCAATATATGTTCTCATCTGGCTACCATTATTATTATGATCATACTTGTATTTAGCCATCCTTATCTATGTATTGCTGACTAAATTTATGAATTTCAAATATTTGTGAAATTCTATCATTTCTGCTTTTCTAAATCTATAATAACTAAAATTCGTTGTCAATTTCTAATTTTTCTTTATTTTGAAGGCAATGCCAACCAAAAGGTGTTCTTTTTGTGTTCTATATAGATGCCCTCTCTAATTTTTGGAATGGGTTGCTTCAGCTGGCTGCAATGTATCTCTGTCCCACTGATGATCAACTGAAATAATAATGTATCAAACCACTATCTTTCTTTTAAAATGCAAAACTGTCAAGCTCCAGCTATTTATCGCCCATGGGTTGTTGTGAATGGCAACCTGTTGATGCTTCCAATAGGTGAAATAAAAGATGGTTCATTGGTCGAAAATCTAAGGCTTTGTTTAGCATGGTTGTGGTTTTTGCTTTTTGGTTTTAATAAATTTTGCAACTCTAAACATCATCACCTCATTACTTTCATGTGTTTTTGCAACATATTATCATGATCATTAGAGAAATAAGAACAAAAATAGTTTTAATACTATTAAATAAGTATATATTTTTTGTTAAACTTGTCTTAAACAAATTGTTCGTTTGGTTTTCAATAGTTGCAAAATTTATGAAAACCAAAACTAAAAACCAATAACCACGACCATACTAAACAGAGTCTAAATTTTCACTTTTATGAAGATTTTTTCCTTGTCTTGGAGCTCTCTTGATTTCAAGTCAAGTTGATCCTTGAAGTTAATGCTGTTAGTTTAGTTTAAAGTTTTCAATTTCCCATGACTTAGATATAATTTGTTTGCCACCAAAGTTTCATTGGGGGCTTATTCACTTGTGAAAACTATTTTGAGGGGCTAATTTGCCTGACTTTCCTCATTAAATCAAAATTTTCAGTAATAATGTTTTGAGTCCTTGACTTCTTGGTTTAACGTTTTTCCCCTTTGTGTTTTTCCTCAAATGGTCTGTTCTTTCCTAATCTTGGCCCTAGGCTCCATTAGGTGATGTGTATACACTTTAGGAAATAGAATGATTATTGTTTTCCAGAAACATTCTGGACACTTTCCTAGGAATCCTACCTAGGTTGCCTGAGGTCCAAACCAAACACGCCTAGATTATTGTTTAGGTGCTGTTTACCATGTGCAGATATGTTTATTTGATTCTACTCCCTGACTGCCTGAATCATTCTTATTCAAATTATTTTGCTTTGTTCTTGCTAGATATTAAGTTTATTATGATCCTTCTAACTTAAACCTTAGAGGCTTAGACTTTAAAGGAATAATGTCTTATCGAATGATTAATGAGACATTGCCTGGTCTTGTGCCTTAGTATATGATTGAATAGTCTCTATCTTAAGGGTGAGAAAGACTTTGCAAACTTGTCCAGTGAATGTAAGTGGTCATAGTAAGAAATCTGCACTGAGAGAAACTTGGTTATAGATATTTTATCCCCATTAAGAGTAATCAAATAAATTTTCTAGAGTAATCCCAAGGATAGGTATTTTCAACTTGAGCTAGACCTTTTTTTTCCCCCCAAATATGGTCATTTTTTGATATTTAAAGTATTATTTTCCTGTCAATCAAACAATAGAAGTGCTCTTTTACTCATTATATCTTGATAAGATTCATAAGAAGACTTCATCTTTGCAGCTTCGTCTAAACAATCATGGCCATATCATTGGCACTGAGTATTTGTCTGATCTTGTTGAAAAGGAACATGCAGCTCACAATCATGGTAATTTCTGTGATGCATTATAAATATTATTTCATTATTTTAGTAGATTTATTTACGTGGGGGCATATAGATTTTAGTTCCTTTGTTTTCTTGGATATAGTTATGTGCTGTGTTGAGGACATGGCATTGTATGACCTTGGCTTGTATCATATACCTCTCTGTTGCAGTCAACTCACACTTCTTGTAGGAAGTGGAGCTATTTTTGTATGAAAAGAAAATTATAATGAAAGATTTAACATTTTAATTAAGAATATTCTTTGGAGGTTCGTGGTTTATGGGTAAGTCCATGCAATGGAATTAAGTTCTGTAACATTAGGTCTCCTAAAGTTGATGTACTGGGTGATTTGTCAATATTTATGGACCTTTGTGTTGAATTTTCTGAAAGCTTTTGAGAGAGCTAACTTATGCAGGAAGACTGTTTGCAGTAGCTTGTGGTTTCAGTGTATCTTGTTTCATTTAAGATTTGAGAATTGAGAATTGAACGTTACAAGTATCTAGGTTAATTTAAGTTGTATTTCTCTAATTTTGTTCAGGTTTTTATAATGTCTCTTCTGGGCATAACTAGCTAGCTAAAACATTTAATTCTTCTAATGAAATTGGACCAGATGATGAGAAGGAACATCATGATGATTTGGACCAGAAGCTTCATGCACTTGGATTTGATAAAGCAGCAGAAAATATGATTAAGAAGGTCAAGCAAGCATTAACAAATGGAGAAGGATGCCGGGTAGATTTTTTTAACAATTTATTTACTTTTAAATTTATTTCTAGTGGGGAAAAGAACAAGGAAAGAGAATTAATGAATCACTGTAAAACTCTCTGCAGGTTTATGGGGTACTAGATGTGCAAAGGGTCGCTGGAAACTTCCACATTTCAGTTCATGGATTAAACATTTATGTTGCTCAAATGGTTGGTAAATGCTCTCAGAAATTTCATGTAATATCTGGAACAATGCCAGTTAATTGTTATAATCCTAACTTCCTTTTAGCATGTATAAACATTGGCTTTTTAGAAGTTGCATGGGTTTTTTCTGAAAAGAAAAAAAAAAAAGAAAAGAATTGCTGGAGGTGTTATTCAGATTTAATTGCCCATTGCAGTACATGAGTGGGCATTTGAAACTATTTCTTTCTAGTTTAGTGCTTGAAACTGTGGTTCTATTCAACCTACTGGTGGGATTCATTGGATTGCACAAGTATAATAAAATATATTCATTTAGCCTTTCCCTATTACGATATATTTGAGTGTACATCTACCACTTGTTGAATTGAAATCATTGAATAAGTTGGTGACATTGATAATTGTTAATATAGTTGCATTTGCTGATTATTTTTTTAACCTTGTGAATCACATTTGCTTTCAAGCACAATTTGAATCTTAATGTGGTTTTTTATAATTCAAAAATTTGTCTTTAGAGTTACATAAAGCTGTATTCATTCCATGTCACTTTGGTGTCTCCATCTAAATTTTATTTTCAATTTTTCATTTCTAGTTTCCTTGAAAAAGTGATTTTCAACATAAATTTCCAATTGATGGGAAAAAAAAAGTTTCCAATTTCTTCATCTTGCTTTAGGAGTTGATTTCTCTTCCATGCCATTGTCTTTGCACCGTTTGTTCTATTATATACGGCTACTATATTATTCAGCTATTACTGGTGCCAAGGTGCTCCTTCTGGTGTTAAGCCTGCATTTTCTTAATTTCTTTCCGGTGAATTTTTATTATACTTGTTGGACACAAAAAAGAAAAACAAAAAAGGGAAAAAGAGAAAGGCACTACCTTGGACATGCTAATCACTGTGAATATGCTTTTCATGTCAATAGAATAGATAGACACACACACGCACATTAGAAATATCAAGTAAAAGAGTTCTGTCCTGCTCTTTCATGTTAGGGGAAAAAAATGCTTCTAGTTCTTAAAACTACCCTTTGAAAAATTTGATGAAAAATTTTGACAAGTTGTAATCTCATAGATAATGTGACTTAAACTTTGATCTAACATGAATTGGATATTGAGAAGAAGTGAAAGATGATAGAAGTGCATTAGATTTGATCATGGTATTGACTCTTTCCTGCGGTTTGGGAATGTCAAATTGGGAGAACTTTTTAACTTGCCTTTATTGCTTGTCTTTCCATGAGATGATTGTTGATATGCTGCTTCTTTATCCAGTGCAAATTAAGTATTCCTTTCCCCTCTGCTAACAGATTTTTGGAGGAGTGACACAAGTCAATGTAAGTCATATCATTCATGATTTATCATTTGGGCCAAAATATCCAGGAATTCACAACCCACTTGATGGTACATTGAGGATTCTGCATGACACGAGTGGAACCTTCAAATATTACATAAAGGTTTGAAATGTTACCATTTTCTTGATTCACATAACATTTACAGCAATGTTGTTGATTTCGAACCTCATCTTTCAAAATGGAATACAAAATATTCTGATCATATGCTTTAGAATTCTCTTCTCCTCATTTAGAGCTCAACAATTTGATGATTAATTTTCTTTTTTTTTTTATTAACGAAAAGTCTATGGCTGTTCTTTGTTGTAGAAGATAGGAACCAGTGAATTTATTGTAAGTAGTTTGATGGAGCATAGTAATAGTTACTGAAAAATATGCTACTTCTCAGCCTCTGAACAACCCAATTCTTATTCTTTGCTGTATAAATTCAAATCCTGCACTTCATATTTTTTAAAACTATTTTTTATAGGGGTTTCTAGCATGTGGTTTCATTTATTGTCCACAAAGTGAGTTAGTTGTCAATTAGTTTATTATCTAATTTACTAAGGAATGGATTAGATATCAAGTCCTTTTGCTGAGCACACAGGCGCAGCATTCCAATTGAGGGACATCAAGTTTATTAGAATCTTGATGACTTTTATGCTCGTCATAGGATTTTGTGAGGCAATCTTAACCATAATACATATTTATTAAAAGAATGGCAAAGTTTGAAGTTGATCATCAACTACATGTCAAGCAAGTCAGTAGAAGGCCTCTGGTTATATAATTATTTATTTTAACTTATTTATAGTTGTAGTTAATTCTTCCACTTGTTTGTTAAAATTTTATATTTAGTAATGGTATCAAAATTTTGACTTGTAAAGTAGTAGAATCTTGTAAAGGTGTGGGCTGTATATTGTTTGGAATTATTTATTTATATTTTTGTATACAGGCACATACATATATACATACAAATGTGCTTACATACATGTTTTGATGATGGAAATATTTATATAAAAGATCTCCATAGATGTTGTGCAATGTACTGGTAGGTATGTTATTGAGGGGTTTCTGATATTGTGACACACTTTATTATCCTAGATTCAATCAGTCCTTAGGTGTCAATCAGGGAAAAAGAAAAAAAAATTCCTGGTTAATGAAGGGGAAACTATTCCAAATAGTTGACATTTTAGGATACTACTTGAGGACGTAATCTGTCTTCAAATTTGTTATTTCATTTTTTTGAACGCTACAGTTTACAACACAAACGCTTGACTGCCTCTTCACTAATTTAAATGCTTTTTAAGTTCATTAGCTATTTTCCCTTTTTTTTTTTTTAATTATGTGGAGACTGTAAGTCGTCTGGATTTCCTTGTTCTTTTGTACTCCCTAATTCCAACTTCTCCATGCTTTCTCCAATTTTATCTAATATTTTAATCTTTTCTACTTTGAAGTAGATTTGTGTTTAGTTTCTCAAGCATATCTCATTTTCTTCCTGTGACACGCTCTTTTGTTGCCTATTCTTCCTCAATTAGTGTTTGGTTCTCTGCCTCAATGCTCTACACTAACAAATCTCATATTTCTCTAATTGTCTCGCAGTTTCACTCTTTAAGTAATATATTCTTAGCAACTGTACCCTCATTGCCCCTAAAACTGCATATTTGTTGTATTTCACGTTGCATTTTAGTATATTAGTAAATACTTAATACTCAGTATGTTCATTCAAGGAAACAAGTGCATTTTAATCTCTCTTTTTATTCTATATTGATGTCCTGAAAAAAAAAAAAAATGGAGCCATCTGATCTTTATGCGACTTTCGACTGATTTTTGTTGTTGCATTGAATTGAAACATTGATGTTTATGCTCATTTTAGTTTTTTTACTTTTTTATTTTTATTTTGTTACAGATTGTCCCTACTGAATACAGATATATTTCTAAAGAAGTTTTGCCAACAAATCAATTCTCTGTCACAGAATATTTTTCTCCTATGAATGAGTTCCACAGAACATGGCCAGGTTGGCTGGCAGTCAGATAATGTAGATATCATGTCTCCTCTTTTCTGCTCCAGTTATTGTTACTTATTATTATCTTCTGTGCAGCTGTTTACTTCTTATATGATCTGTCCCCAATCACCGTGACAATAAAAGAAGAGCGCCGCAGTTTTCTCCATTTCATTACTCGACTTTGTGCGGTACTAGGTGGAACATTTGCTTTGACAGGTTTGCTTCATTTGATGATTCTGTAAATGATTTAACTATTTTCTCCAAGTAAATGAATGTTGTTACTTGGGAATATATTGCATCTGAAGAGACTAAGGTAAATGTTTTTAATTATTCATAGTCTTTCTGAACTAGCTTTGAACAAATTCAAATTTCGTTGGGCTGTAATTTGGGATTTGAACAAGTTTTGGTTTGAATCAATACTTCCGTTTCTTGCAAAATAATTGATTCTTCTCATTTAGAACGTCCAGCTGAAGTTTGCAATTTAGATGGAGAATGGCTGATTCCATTCATACCTTGCCTTAATTGGATGGATTGCTTCTCCCATTCGTACTTCATTTTTGCTCTTAATAATGTGTTCGCTCATCAATGATGCTCTTTTTTGACCTTAAAACAGGAATGCTTGATCGCTGGATGTACAGACTTCTCGAAGTACTGAGTAAACCAAATCCTAGAGGTATATTGCAGTAAAAAGTTTTACAGTTGACAATTGCCATTAACCTTAGATGTGCATCTCAAATGAATTCTCTATGCAAGCAAAGTACTCAGTGGTTCCTTGGGTTCAGTATCCCACCTTGAAGTTAAGTTAGAAGTATCAAAAAGGAGGGCAAAGAAAACTCATGCTGCTTGTCTTCCGAGACTGATACTGTAGATCTTAAATGTGATCATTTATTTTTGTTCCTCACATATTCCATGAACATTGTTCTTAAATTAGCTGTCACAAATTTTGTATACCGTTTCTAGATATTTTTGAATGTTGCAGCTTTTGTGGGCAACCAGGACTGTGGAATAGGTAAACCATCCTGGGTTTCTTTTGCATATAATGGGTTTTCTTAAAAATATTTTTTGTCTGGGATGTTAAAGCTTCATGAAATTTTTAGGGGGAGTGTAGTGATAGTTGGTGACATTTAACTTGGACTCGAGTAATAAATGATCGGCTTGAGTTTGCAACCCTTAGATAAATGAGATTAGTTCAAGCTTTCTTGTCTGGCACAATGTCTTGTGAGTTGGCTCTACTCGTGAGTTTGTAATTGAATTTAAGCCAAGCCCGAATTTCTAAAGGATATAAGGAAATTGTAAATAAAATTGGGAAAATTCTTGTTTAGTGTTATAGTGAGGGTTTTCCTCATTTAGTGGAAATTTGACCTTGCATCTAACACGTGATAAAGTTCGTGTTTCCACAGATTCCTTATTTAGTATAATCGATTTATTAAATGTTTTACATGTCCTTGTTTTGTTGAGCAAAAAGAGAAGGTAAACCTCCTAACTTGGTCCTTGGATTCACGATTTGGTCCTTGACTTATCCTTTAAGTTTGAAAATTTTGTTCCTTTTTTTTTTTCCCTCGATTCACTTTTTGTTGACGTAACACCTTAATTGGCAGAATAAGCCTATTTTCTCTTAAAATTGTGTGGAAATTCCACCATGTAAAATTTGATAATGTGGATAAAATATCCATCTCAATTGTATATTCATAAATGAGTACAAAATAAATATATTCACTCTTTTATTACTATTAACAAAATAAAAGTTTACTATTTTACAATTTGGACTGCAAAATAAGGTTCTTCAAATGTAATAAAGCCTCCAATACTTTTGTTACTCTTAAAATCCTATTGGTCATACCTCCTAGCAGAAATTGTAATGAAGACATGCCACCTACTTTTGCAAGAAAAGCAAGAAAAGGATTCACTAACAACCCTTTCTTGTCACTTAGTTTTTCCTTGTGAAAAGGCTATTGGAAGAATGTCATTTAAAATGTAATGCATCCAAATCAAACGATTAGAAGAAATGAGGGATTAATCTTGCACAATGAGTTCAAACTTGCTTGAAAACTATTACTCCTAAAATCCTATTAGCCACACCTTGCAACAAAAGTTGCAATGAAGGTGGGCCACCTACTTTTGCAAGAAAAGCAGGAAAAGGATTCACCAACAACCCTATCCTTCCACTTGGTTTTCTTTTTTTGTGAAAAGGTTGTTGGAAGAATATTGTTTAAAATATAGTGCACTCGAATCTAACAATTGGCAAAAATGAGGGATTAATTCTGGCGAAATGAGGGATTAATTCCTGCACAATGAGCTCAAACTTGCCTTGAAAGCACGTCAAGGACTTAGGTTAAGGTAAATGAGTATCAAGAAAAATTAAATTAAAGTATTGGTTATGAAATAACTAAGGACAAAATTGAAATTGCAGATAGAAAACATAAATCTAGTAGAAATCTAGAAAACGCAACAGAAAAATAAAAGACTCTAAGTTTAACTGAAATTGCAAACATGTTAAAATAAAAATCAAATTGAATGTTTAAGAATTGAGAAACATAGTAGAAGAAGCAAATCACAATAATAAGAAAAAGTCACAGAAACTAATCTTACCCAAAAACTAAATCAACTAACAACAAGAATCTGTTGGGGATGTTGATTTACTTCTATTGGACTAAAAACTTGATGAAAAGATGCTCAAAAATAATTTAAAACTAAGATATTGTTGGGCTCAACTAAACTAAAGGATGATTGACAAACAAAAGAGCTTTAAAAGATAAATGATTGTGTTGAAAGGCAAGCTTGTGTGTGGAACCGAATATTGTCTTCAAAACTGAAATTTATAAGCCTTCATAACTACTCCCACTCAGTAAAAAATATGATCTGAACCACCTCTCCATCCATAGTGAAACATGATCTCAACAACCTTGATTTTCTCTCCTTCATCATGCACATTGTCGGCTAGCCAGAAACAAGAAAATGTAGCCAAAATCTAGCAAAAATCCACTAGATGAAATCCCTAAAAACCAACCTCTTCCTTCTCCATTTGACCGGGTCAATCTCTTTTTAAATTAAAGATCATATCTCCAACTTTCTCAAAGGATAAAAATTGGACTTCTAATAGAATACCAACCCATGAGATTTAAATAGATAGAGTCTAAAAGTACTTGGATTGTACTCTCCTTTGGGCCATATAATTCCTTTTAATCCAACAAACTCCCCACTGTCAAATCCACTTCCAAATTAAATAAAGTTGGACTCCCTAGGCTTAATTAATAAAAATGCTAAAGACTCCAGCCTAGTAAAAATAATCCACATCAATCCACGGTAACATAAAATGAACTCCATAGTTTTGAATCACAGCCAAATAATTCATAATAAAACATGAAAAATTAATGGCCACTCAATCTTTTTAGAGACACATGGCATCATCTAAAAAATTACTAATTATGGTGTAAACAAAAACCCATCAAAGACTTAGGTTAAGGTGAACAAGTATTGAGAAAAAATAAATTAAATATTGGTAATGAAATAAGTTAAGGACAAGTATTGGAAATTAACTAAATAATGTGTAGAAAATATAGCCAAACAGAAATTGAAATTGTAGGTAGAAAATGTAAACTTGGTAGAAACTTGGAAAACACAACAAAAAAGTAAAAGTCTCTAAATTTAATTGAAATTGCAAACATGTTTGAATTAAAATCAAATTGAATGTTTAACAATTGAGAAACTTAGCAAAAGCAAATCACAATAATAAAAAAAAGGTCACAAAAACTAATCTTACTCAAAAACTAAATCAACTAAAAACAATTATTCGCTGGGGGTGGTGATTTACTTCTACTAGACTAAAAACTTGGTGAAAAGATGTTGGAAATAGTCTAAAACTAAAAGGATGTTGGGCTAGACTAAACTAAACTAAAGGATGCTTAATGAACAAAAAGCTTTGAAAGATAAATGATTTGTATTGAAAGGCAAGCTTGTGTGTGGAACCAAATAATGTCTTCAAAACTAAAATTTATAAGCCTCCATAACTACTCACACTTAGTAAAAAATCAGATTTGAACTACCTCTCTATCCATAGTAAAATATAATCTCAACAAAACCTGATTTTCTCTTTCATGCACACTGTCGATTAGCTAGAAACAAGAAAAATGTAGCTAAAATCCAACAAAAATCTACCAGATGAAATCCGTAATAATTAGCCTCATCCTTCTCCATTTGACTGGGTCAATCTCTTTTTAAATTAAAGATCAAATCTCCAACTTTTTCATAAAAATTTGACTTCTACCAACCCATGAGATTTAAATAGATAGAGTCCAAAAGTACTTGGGTTGTGCTCTCCTTTAGGCCATATAATTCCTTTTAATCCAACAAACTCCCTACTATCAAATTCACTTCCAAAATAAATAAAGTTAGACTCCTCGAGCTTAATTAATAAAATGTTAAAAACTACAGCCTAGTAAAAATAATCCATACCAACCTATGGTAACATAAAATGAACTCCACTATACTGGATCATAGCCAAATAATTCACAAATAATGAAAAATTAATGGTTGCTCAATCTTTATAGGTACACGTGGTGTCATGTCAAAAAATTACTAATTATGGTGTAAACAACTTTTATTTTAACCAAAAAGTATTTTGTAGTCAAAACTATACTACACTGCAAAACATAGATCCTTTGATAATGAGCAAGCCTTTCCCCATTTAAAGATCATTGTTTTGTAAGGCCCATAAGGGCACAAAAATCAAAACCAAGTTAATTTATTATGCAAGGCCAAAATATATAATTAAAAATCAGATAAAATCGGAATAAATACTTGTAAGTCAAGTTATGCAATAGTTGTTAATAAGGTCCTTCAACTTTGTAATACTGACAAATAAGTCTAAAAACTAAATCATGTCTCAACTAAATCCAAATCAAATCTAGTAAGAGCCATCAAATGCTCTGATCTCTAGGGTCTCTAGTGTTGTCATCTAACAATGGTGGACAAGGAAAAATGTAAGATAAAATTCGAGTAAGCAAATATTTAGTTTCCCCTTTTTATATAAATCAATATCAAGTAAAATAGCTAGTACAAGTATGGGTAACGAAATAAATGTCTCCTCTACAAGTCATGACCAACATTTATAAACCCCTCACAGGCAAGCAAGAGATTACTAGTGTATAATCTCACTAGCAAGATAACAAATATAACAAAAATGAACCAATTCCACAAGTAAAATGTTTATATGTGCTAGCGTTTATAAACCTCTCACTATTGGTACAAGTGAAACATAATTATATTGGAGACTAAATAGGATAGCAAGTGTATCACAATTAAACATGCTTATTTTAAGAAAAGCAAGTCTCTCACATATCAAGTAGCATGCATCAATTAATTTCCATAAACAAGCATGCTTAACTAATAAAATCCAACCTAAAATAAAATAAGATTTTAATCATGCTATTAAATAAAAACTGGTTTTTAATCCCTTTAACATCTCAAAACAATATAAAATCATGCTTTAAAATTATATTAAAAAACTAAGGGCATAACTATAATTTTACTTAAATAGGAATAGTAGATAATTATGAGATAAAATCCTAAAGTCCCGATGCCAACAATCAAGAACCTAGCATTTACATTAAATCCAATAAGTTATAATTCTAATAAATTATAAAATTTTAAATATATCCCTGATCTCTAATTAAATATAATTAATATTTAATTTTATAATATTTTTATTTAATTACTCAATAGGTGTTAACACCTATCTCTGACTAAAATAGGAGGTGGAGACACTACTGATCAATACTTGAATTAGAAAAAGACAAGCCACCGGTGTAGTGCTGCATGCCATGCAACACATGAATTAAGGGTGCTGCATAATAGCATCCTTTATCCACATCTTCTTTCTTTCTTTCTTTCTTTCTTTCTTTCTGTCTTTCTTTTAACTATACATTATTTTATTATTACTACTTTTACTATTATTATTTTTATTACAATAGGCTCGAAAATGGGTGTTGCAATCTGTCCAAGAATGAGTACCTAATATGCCACAATGGGTGCAGTGTTCAAGAATATGCCACTCCTCCGTCAGCTTTAATTCCAAAGTCCTTGAGTCAAAGTATGATAAAACATACTGAAATTAAATAATCCAGATGCAAGATTTGAAAGGAAGCATTGATGGCAAAAGGAACAAGAGATTTGGAGATTTTTAAATTGGGTTTTAGTGTTATAACTCATGGAAATACACAAGAAACAAGAAATCATGAGAATGATTGTGCTTACCTTGAGAATTTCACAATTAAACAAAAGGAAGGGAAGATGGCTGGATATGGGAAGAGAGGCAAAAGCCTAAAAATAGCCCCTTACCTTGATAAGTTGGACGGTTTTAGCCCCTCACTTTATAATATAACGGTTTTAGCCCCTAACATATAAGAATGGAAGAAAATAACTGTCACGTCCCAGAACCCAAATCCGAGGCGCGACAAACGCCGTACACTCGTGAGACGGGTCCCACAAGTGCACAAGGCTCGGAACTTATCATATCACACTCTGATACCACCAAAATCTGAAGATCAAATTATAAAATTCTCTGATATCATAAGTCTCCAATAAAATCTCCAAATACAAGATCATGATTTGTTTCTAAAATTTCATATCCAATTACAATATGGCTAGCCTTCTAACTCATCACTTCCCGTGGTTTCCCCGTCCTCGGTTTCACTTCTTGAAATGGTGGACAAGGAAAAACTATGAGATAAACTCAGTAAGTAAATATGGAGTGCCCCTTATCAAACTTAAAGCATGCCAACAAGTACAATCACGAAAACAGATATAGTACGGGCACGAAATAGACGTCTCCTCTATAGGTCACGGCCAGTGTATAATCCCCATTAGCAGGGCCACGATTTGCTGGTGTATAACCCCCACTAGCTGGGTTGAACGAACCGGCTCTATCACTACATGTCGACATGTGCTAGCGTTTATAACCTCCCCCACTAGCAGGGTCACGAATAACATATCGACATGTGCCAACATGTGCTAGTGTTTATAACCTCCCCCACTAGCAGGGTCATGAATAACATGACCACATCGGAGACAAAACAGGCAAAAGTTAACAGGAAAATCACAATTCACAATCACTTTCAAGTCACTTTCAGATTATCAAGACAATCACTTAAATTTCAAGTAGGCATGCTCAATTTAGTGAAAAGCATAAAACATTTCACTTCAAATCAATCATACTTGTGTAAAACAGGTTTAGTCCCACCACCACTTCAAAAACAAATCAAAACATGCTTTTAAAAACTATACGGGCATTACCATAAATTTACTTACCTCACTTGCATAAAACCGAGCACTCAATTCACGTACTAAACTGACAGGACGATCAAGAACCTAATCAAGATA